CTCTGCCGGCCCTGATGGGTTTGGAGGTGGGGTTTGATGATCATGAGAAGCCTCAGCATACTGTCATGGCTGCAAATCACAGGCTAATCCCTGGGTATTTAATACCTGGCATATTGGCCAAGGATGTGGCAGCACCTGAGCAGCTCTGAGGAACAGGCAATGAAGCCATCCCCTTGCTGAAAACCCATCTGCCTCTGTAGCCCTTCTTGCTGGTAATCCCTGGTCCTTTTGAGCAGCAGGATGCTCATATCCACACAGGGGGGGAGTGTATAGCAGTGTTGGGGTGGGAAACTGCAGGCTGTAGGGGACCCAATGCCAAGGAGAAATATTCCACCCTCATGGCAGCATGTCTGTTCCTCCATGAAGATGCTCTTGAAGGTCAAAAGAAGACTCTGAAGTGCCAATTTAGTTGGTTTAATGTCAGTGAGCAGAAATCCTTGGCAGATTGCATCACTGGAGGGATGAGGAGATGCTGCAGGAACCTTGGGAAGCCTGGGCTGGATCCTCCCTGGAGCTGTGCATCACTCTACTACCTGCTGCTGGTCTCGGAATGCGCACACGCTCCCTACATCTCCCCACTGATGTCTGGGTTCCCACACCAGTTCCAGCATCCCTGTCCACCAGTCCACGTGGTGGTGTGTCCCACCAGCACAGGCACAGGCAGAATTGCAAAGCAACCTCCACTTTCAGTAACAGAGAAATGGAGATGTGGGTGCTGGTGGGGAATCATAGCATCACAGAATCACTGGGTTGGAAAAGACCTTAGAGATCATCCAGTCCAACCGTATCTGTCCGCCACTAAACCATATCTCTCAGCACCTCATCCACCCATCTCTTAAACACATCCAGGGATGGTGACTCCACCACCTCCCTGGGCAGCCTGTTCCAGTGCGTGATAACCCTTTCGGTGAAGAACTTCTTCCATACGTCCAGTCTAAACCTTCCCTGGTGCAGCTTGAGACCATTAGCACGACATCCCATGCCTACAAGAGCCTACACCAGAGCTCTTGTGCTATATCCAGCAACAAGTATGACAGTCCCCAGGTGCTCAGATGTGTCTACTGCTCAGGACATCCTCCAAGAGAGTATTAGGATGTTTGTGAGGTTGAGTTGTTTGTGACGCTCTCCCCTAAAGAATGGTCCTTGCAAGCTATTTCAGTAATGGAAGCAGAGGGGTAGGATGCTCATTTCTCTACCTAGGGTTTGGTGACACACTGTCCCAGGGGATGATCCCAGGAGCAGGAGGACCTGAATGGGTGCCCCCACTCCACAATGAAAAGGCTTTTTCCAGGTGCCTGCTCCAAACTCTTAAGGTTGGGCTGCAAGACACAGCTCCTCCGTGCTACAAAGACCTTGATGATGGAGCTGGAAGCTGAGATGGGAGCAAGAACTTGGGACCAGTGCCCTGGGGCTGTGTGTTACTGGAGACTCCCATGTGCAGGGACAGGCTTTTCTCTTTTCAACTGTTCCCAACATGCAATCTGCAGGTTTGTTCTTTGAGGAAAAGCCATCCGAAAGTCACATCCTCCTGCTGCTTTGTCTGTAATTTATTATTATATATATTTTTAGCAATCTGCAGAGCTTTTTTTCCAAGTCAGGTGAGGCTCAAAAACCCCCAAGCTGCCTGCATTGTGGTGACTCTGATGCATGGGATGCAAAGGTTTTATAATCATAGAATCATAGAATGGTTTGGGTTGGAAGGGACCTTAAAGATCATCTAGTTCTAACCTCCCTGCCAATAGGAGGAGGTCGCTCTTCCCCTCTGTGTCTTTTCCCAGTGAACGTGAGTGTAACCTTGTGCGAAACCTTCATGCAGATTGCCTTGCCTCAGTCTGAAAGTCCGCAGAGAAAATGATTTGAATGGAGTTCAGTGAATCAAGCAAATGAAAAAGGCTCTGCAGAGCCACCTTGTGCCCATCAAAAGCATTCTGGAAGAACACAGCGGTTTAAAGGCAGGGAGTGTGAATAAAATATACACAATTTATTTATAGGAGGTTTACAGCTGTACAACGTTGGCTTTCTGTTTGGACCGCTCTCTGATCTTGTGCAGGGTGACACGTCAGTGCCTTCGGAGATAAAGACAAGTGACAGCCTGTTTCAACAGGCAGACGTCAAAAAGAAAAGGATTTCACAGAGTGTAACGGCAGGCTACTTGCAACCATTGAAATGATTAACAAAAGAAATGGAAAATAAATCAGAGATGTGTCCTACACCACCTGGGAGGGACTGGAAAGTGCTTATCAGACCTGCCCTCCCCTCAGACAACAGAAAACCCTGAATATTTCTGATTACTTCATTCAAAGAGAAAAGGCATCAACATTAAGAATGGCGTTTCAATAACTGCCCTCCCCCATCCACTCTACCAAAAAAACCAAAAATCAACAAAGATGATTTTTGTTATTCCATTGGAAATGTAGGGGGAAGAAGGCTCTGCTTTAACTTGCCAAATATTTTCAAAAAAAAGCACAAATATTACTAATATTAAGACATTTTGGTCCTGATATAGTATGATGAATTTCTTTTTTGGAAGAAGAAGCTATTAAAAAGCTGCCTTTCCTCTCACTATGGCTTGATTCTCTCAAGTAGGAAGGAAGGAGGCTTTCCATGGGTACAGGTGCACTGCTACTCCTCGGCAAGCTTCAGCACCGTTCCTTGGGGAACGTTGGGGCACTCCTGCCCAAATGGCTCTCTGCTGAAGCTATCCATAGCCTGATTTCCTGAGAAAGCAAGGCTAATGCAGGCAGGCTGGCAACCCCCAGCTGATGACGATGGTGCAAAGCTCCTGTGATGTTCTCCTTTAGCTAAACAGGTCTTCTTCCAGCCAGGTGAGGTATCTTTGGGCATTACAGTTCCTCTCACATAGCATTCTGAATATGAGTCTGTGAGATCTTCCCCTAAGACCTAAGTCATGCTTTCTGGCCCCACAATATTGCTTCCCTTTATTTTCAGTGATGAGTCCCATAAACAAAACCAGAATAAAATCAAAATACCTCTGAATAGGTCTGCTCAAATTCAAGGATTTGCTCTGACCGTGGGGTCAAAATGTCACTTTACAAAACTAGGAGCATTTCAGCCAATTCTGCAAGATGCCGAACTAAGCTACGTCTCAATGATGACATCAGGAGTTTGGAGGGTGCTCAGTGCAAGCCATGAATACTTGGGACCTGGAAAAAGCATCCTGTGGGCCACTGCCTGCCTGAGAACCCTGGAAAACAAGACCTAAGGAAATAAGCAATTTAGTCAAAAACCCAACTCAAAATAACAGGAGGTAAACCCCAAAGATGAGGAAAGTGGAGCAACAGCCTGCAAAAATCGATGAAGTTGTACCCTGTGCTTCCGGATGTGCCAAGGATTGAGCTGGAAACTGATGTGACTTTGGGGAATATCTTGCCAGGTTACAGACTTAGTAGATCATTAGGGACTTCAACAAAAAATACAGACTTGCAGCACAAACATGGGCATTTACTAGGACAAACAGAAACCCAACTTCCTACAGCAAGAGAAGGCTTCCTTGTTCACTTGTCCTTCTAGGCAGAGGACTCTGCTCAGGCCCAAAATTTACCAAGATCACAAGATTACATCCTGTGTATTCATTTCCACTTGTATGCAGGTGACTGCTTGTTAGAAAATCTGACAGAAAAAGAATCCCTTAACTTGCACCATTTTTAAAGGCACATGAATAAAAAATTCCAACAAAAAACAGGAGAAAAAAATGCTTTGAAACCTGCCCTGATCAGCTGCTGAAAGGCCAGACAAGGGTTTGTTGTTTGGCTTATCTGGGATGGTTTATAAGAAGCTGGATTCTGCCACCCAGTGGAAGAAGGAGGATGAGCCCAGTTTCCATGGTAAACAGGAAAGGAGCACGGCCCTAGACACAGGCTGGAGGAAGCGCTTGGGCAACTCTTCCTCCAGGCCAGGAGACTGGAAATTAAAGGTGAGGGATGGAAACCGGCATGAATTAAATATTCCCAGCATTTTCAGGCTGCACTGGGAGCAGGGCTCCTATTCTCTCTCCTAGCACAAGCTAAAATCCCACTATTTAAAAAAAAAATTTGGGAAAGCGAGGCACTGAGAAATGACGCACGGTATGCAGCAAAGATGGAGGCCCTTAAGCAAAGCTCCCCATCCCTCGGACCTGACACTCTGGCCTTCAGAGGAACTGATCTCCTCTTAGCTAAACACTGAACGGCCCCAGCAGAGAACCCACCCCAGGGTGAGCTCTTGGGATGGGGACTGCACGAAGACACGGCAGGCACCGCGGCAGTTCGAGAGGCACACGCAGGAGCTGAGTCCAGACCGATTCAAAAGGTTGACCCCAAAAAACAGTTGTCTTTGTATCCTTCAGAGTTGGGATTGAACAAGACGCGGGAGGAGGCAGCTTGTCCCTAAAACGATGGAGCCTTTAGTCTCGTCCTTGTGGATTTGGGACTGCCTCGGAGCATTTTCCTTCCAGTCGCAGTATGCAAACCCATACCCAAAAAACATCCAAAAGGCCCCCAATCTATTTTTCCACTTCTCCTTTGCTGAGGTGCCTCCACAAAGAAGCGATTAAACGGCAGCTCACGGGAGACGACTCCACGCGCACTACTCTAAACCCAAGCAGAACACGTTGAGGATGCGCTGAATTTAAGCGGCTTGGTGGGACCGCGGCGGCCACGCGTGTGTGTGGTGGCACGTGCGTACCAGCCTGTGTAAACAAACAGCCTCAGGGCATTGTGCTCTGTCTGTCAGGACACACAGCGTGCCCGCAGCGATCCCGCTGGCCAGGCGGCAGCGATGGGGGCTGCAGAGGATGCAGGCAGAAGTATTGTTGCGGTTCCCCAAAAAAGGCACCATTTTCTAACATTGAAAACACAAGATTGGCTCCTTCGAGTGGAATGCATGCATAGTATACACTCTGCAGATGGTAGGTAGGCTCTGTGTGTGTATATATATATATGTATGTACATGTGCATGTATATATACACGTATGTGGCACCAGAAGAAGAGTCCTTGAGTACTCAGACATTAGTGAGGATGTTACTGCTGAGCAGCCTCACGGCAATGGTTCCGGAGAGATCGTTTGACCTCCTGTTCCCCTTGTCCTGGAGATGCAGCGTATGCACCGACTGCCGGTCGCTGGGGTCCCCCGTGAGTACCACTTGGCCCAAGAACTCGTCGCTTATTAAGTTGTGGTTCCAGATCTGGGGAAACAAAACAGACGTAAGGGCGGCTCTTTGAGAGATGCAGCCAACCTTCATGCAGCGGAGGGGAGAAGGGGTTATTTGGGACCTGCTCTGAGCTGGAGCTGTGGAGGTGGTTGAGGTGGGGGGGGTTCACTCTGCACGTGAGTGGGGTGAAGGACATGTATTTACCAGATGTCACCGCTCAGACACGGTGGTGAGAGGTTGAGCTGTGTGAACTGATGCTGCTCAGCCTTGGGAAACAGACCCGCTGTGGACAGTGTGAGGAGAGGGCAGGTGCAGGGGTCCAAGTGAGAGATGGTTTCCATCCCTCAGCTCATTGTTTGCTTGACAGGTACCTGAACAATGATGGGTTGTCCTGGCTTCTTGCGGTAGAAGAGCCCTTTCACATCAAATTCTGGAGATACCGTGTTCTTCTTCACTGGAGAGCGAACCTTTTGCCCTTCACACTTTATGATCACGTAAGGGTCAGCTCCTGGGGAGAGAAAAGAGAAATTTTGCTTCGTTGTAGCTCCTGTAATTCTTCAGAGGCCCTTTCCAGGGGTGTCATGCACCACTTTTCCTCCATACCTTGCCAGAAGAGATGGATATCTGCCAGAGAGTTCATCACAGCCCAGATGATATCCATGATATCCAGCTGTTGGGCTCAGGCTCACTTCTGTTAGGTGACACTGTCCCTATGAAATGGTCACCTCTTCCTTGACCCCATATTCTACATAAACAATCCTTCGTCACTCAAAATCATAAAATCATGGAATAGCTTCGGTTGGAAGGGACACTAAAGACTGTCTAGTTCCAATCCCCCTGCCAGGGGCAGGGACCCCTTCCACTAGACCAGGTTGCTCCAAGCCTCATCCAGCCTGGCCTTGAACACTCCCAGGGATGGGGCATCCACAGCTTCTCTGGGCAACCTGTTCCAGTGCCTCACCACCCTCTGTGGGAAGAACTTCCTCCTGATATCCAATCTAAATCTCCCTGCTTGTTACTCCTTTTCCTGTCATCACCTGCCCTTGTAAAAAGTGTCCACACACCTCCACCCCCCCCCAGTTTTCTTGTAGCCCCCCCACGCCATGCAAGGTCTCCGCAGCATCTTCTCTTCTCCAGGCTGAGCACCCCCACCTCTCTCAGCCTGTCCCCACAGCAGAGGTGCTCCAGCACCTCTGGACTTGCCCCAGCTGGTTGATATTCTTATTATGTTGAGGGTTCCAAAGTTGGAGCTCCTGACCTTTAGGCTAAATCTTTCATGGAAGACACTGCTCTGCTCAACTCTCGTTTTGGGAGTTGCTGTACTGAAGGCAGGGAGAAATAAAGCCATGCAGAAGAGAAACAGGCTCACAGAGGTTGTTTCATGCAAGGAAACACCAAGAAGGCAAGGTCTGTCAAGCTGCAAAAACCCACTTGCTTCTACTGCAGCTCATATGCTCCCAACCCAGGCTAACCTTGGTTTCACTTTGAGGTGATAACTTAAGGTTTACTTTAAGGTGATAACATCAGCAGCGACAGTGCTATTCTCCCCTATGCACAAATCCTAAACTTAATTGGACTCAAATAATGCAGGGGATGTCAGTATAATGACTAATGTTGTGCTAAGAAAAATGCTGGGTGGTCAAGGAGAAGAGAGATGGTACAATGCTGAGCCAAAATTGTCAAAATGTGCTAATTTATGAGATCCAAAAATGGATCTCAAACCATTTGGGTACCGGGAAGGTTTGGTGTGAAAGCAATGAATGGAGAGCCTTAGGATGGAATTATATTTAAAATGATTTTAAAGAGCTGAAGAATGGTTCTTACAGTATTTGCTGTGGGCAAGACTTCAGGGAGAAGATCAAAATGCCAAAAAGGGTCATTGGTGGTAGTGAGAGACGTGGGAAAGAGAAAGATTGGGCATTGAGGGCCAACCAAGGGAAATGAGTGGGAAATGGAGGAGAAAGCAGGACAGGGAAGTTACTGCAATATCCCAGCTGGAAGAAGACATTCATGGAGAACAAGCAGGCCAGAAAGATGGAGAGTAAAGTTATGAAGTTCAGAGACTACCAGCCCACAGCTGGATGGTTCTGAGCTTCCAGGAGAGGGAAAAAAATTCCCCTTACAAAATAAATGCTCATTTTGGGAATTTCAGTAGAGAATGAGCTATTGTTACGGAAATTTAACTGCCAGAATGCATTTCCTTAGCATGGCCTTTAGTGGCTATGATGGAAACACTGACCAGGTGGATGAGTTTTCTGGTCCAAGGGAAATGTGGAAATGAGAAGGAACAAACTACCCCTTCTGAGAGCCAGGGATTTAAGAACCACATCTCTGATTGCCAGACCACCTCCTTGCTAGCCGCCTGTTTGCAGGGACCTGGCTCCCCGGGTGAGACACAGCTGCTGGATTTCACAGCTGTTTTTCCAAACCAGCTTTTTCTTTTGGGATGTCCCATTAAATCCTCATATTCCATCACTCAGAGCCAAATTCCCATCTGTAAATCACTGTTTCCAAAGTAGTGTGAAAGGCCTGGGCTGGGAGATGCGAGAGATGCTATTGCACTGGCAAGCAATGAACATGCAGACTGTTGGTAGTGGGAGCTGAACAGCTGGAAAAGAGCTGGAAAAAAGCCATTCCCAGCAGTCTCTTTCTGAAAAAATGTTTTATGGCTCCAGAACCCACATGTAACCTTGTCTGAAGGAAAGATAAATCTCCTTATTTCTGTGAACAGTTCAGAGACTTTTGGCTACAGTTTTCCCTGCATTGCTACAGATACACTCAGCGATTTTGAGCAAGCCAAGAAACAACCTACCTAGGGCAAGATTCCATCCCCAAACACCAGACAGGGGAGGAGGTCACCCTTTGTGGCATGTGATAAACGAGCAAATTGGGATAATCTCTGCCTTAAGGAAGGATCCTGCTCATCACTTTCAGGGCTCTAGTGGTACGTAGCTCTGATAATAATGCTTGGGTGAAATAAAAATATTTTAATTACATTTTTAATTTATTTTTTTTTAGATTTTAAGTTTTCAATTTCTATATTTCAAATTTGGCTTGAAAATACCTGGCTAAACCTTCCACATTCAACACATGACTTTGTCTCAGGAGATTCACAAGAAAGGTTAGGATTTGTTCCATTACCATGGTGGAAAGGCTTTCGCTTTTTCATCACAACCTCTATGACTTTCATCCCTACTTCAACAATCTTCCAGTAAAAGTCACCACTACCCTTGTGTTCCTTGGTCCAGATGTGCCAGGAGGAACACCAGGCTCCTGCCATGGGCTTCTGTGTGGCTGTAGGACATGGTGAGACACAGTGCTGCTGTGGTCATGCAAGAGATGTGTTGGATGTCAAGTTTGCATCAGACCACAGCAGGACCATGAAAATGAATCTTTAGAGGACCAAGTAGGGAGACACACATTGCACTGTGCTGGTGGTGGCTGAGGTCATCTCAGAGGGCTCCTAGGAGCCAAGAGTGAAGCAGGACTTACAGAAAATCGAGGGAGAGGCCCTCGATGCAAATCACCCCAAAATGAGCTAAATTTGACCTACCCTCTACTGATAGACATTTATCCAGTCTCTGGTGATGAAGACTACCCAGACATATCAGCCTGCTCTGTTGCTTCTCTGTCCTTCCTATTAAAAAGCCTTTAAATAGGATTCCTGACTTGTACAGTTGCTCATACTCAGGAGGAAAGCCTGCATTGTTATAGGACCACTGCCAAGGGCTGTGGTAAAGTTTTGGAAGGATCTCCCAAGGATCTTAGACAACAGCCTAAATATAACAGCTCCAAGATCATGTCCACAGCAAGAAGTGAGTTTGATTCTCCATGGACTTTCTCCTCCTATGCCTGAATCAGGCATGTTCACTGAAAAAAATATCTGAGGACGTAACAAATCCCAGCAACTTCCCACCTCATGAAACCACCCACTTTTCAACTGAAACAACCACCTCCCAACTACTCCACGACTAGACAACAGGCAGTAAAAGGCCAGTACCTCCTTGGGAGTCCTGATTCTTAAGCCCGGCTGCAGCGAGGATATGGATCTGGGATACCACTTGTGGGTAACCACACATCCCACTCCAGCAGGTGTGTGGTGGCTCATCCAACGTCAGCTCTCTGCAGGGAAAAACATGTGGCCTCTGGGAGGTGCCCAGCCTTACCCCAGGGGCAGAGAGTTTGCTCTAGCAGGAGGGAAGAACTATCCACTGTTAGACTCTGCTCCCCACTCTGATCTCCTCATCCCGGGTTTGGGATGCTCTCCCATGTCATGATTAAATGCAGACTGGGAGCTTGTCTGCATGTCTGTGGTTAGACTTGTAACGATGCCCTGTCTCTTGGTCACCCTTGAAAGGAAGCCAGCCACCATCTCCAGACAAGGCTATAACAAATTCCCATCAGGAAAACCACATTTCAAAAGCACAGGGCTCTTTCCAAATATCCAGCTCCTCCTTATCACTACTCTTGCTCCTTACCGGCAATCTGAAGGCACATCTGTGAAAATCCTGAGAAGGAACTCGCCTATGTGACCTGGGTCGAAAGTGGTGGGGATGATGACGTAGCGGCCTTCCTTCAAGTCCGTCCTCAGGAAGACGCTCCGGGAGTTAATGTAAATGGAGCTGGCCACCTTCTGCTGCAGGGTGTGCATGCGGTAGTTCCTGTTCAGCTCCACCTGGGCAGAGACCACAGCAGGAAGGTCGGCAGAACAGCACGGAGTGACAACGTATTGGTATCCACCTTGGACTGCAAGGACTGACCCCACAGTGCTGGGAAAGATGGAGTTAAGAGAACCAGCAAAATGATCCCACCTGAGCTGGATGGAAAACAAGTCTGGATGTGGCTCTCTCAACTCTGTTGGCTCAGGGACTTGTTCTCCCTTGCATAACATCTTGACACTGGGGACCCAGTAAGCAACACATCTAGTGGATCTAGTGGAAGGTCTAGTGGAAGGTGTCCCTGCCCATGACAGGAGTGTTGGAACTAGATGGTCTTTAAGGTCCCTTCCCACCCAAACCATTCTGTGATTCTATGATCAGTCTAATGGATTTCAACATTTGGAGATAACAGACTAACCATTGTTTTTAGCAAGGAGAACTTGTCCATGCTGTCACTGTTCACCTCCGAAATCTCTCACCATCTCTAGAGGAGGTCAGGCTGTGCTGAAGGCACCCCAGGGGCACCCACAGTAATACTTAAATGAACAACACCAGTGGTTATGCAGGACTGATGTATCACTCTACCACTAACAAATTCAAGGGGGATTCAGGCCAACATGCAGGACCTGTGGTCTACCTTGTGGATATCAAAGCCTATGGCCAGGTTCTCTCCTTTGCCCTCTTTGCGACTGGTCCTTTTTGGCTTCTGCTGGATGGAGATCAGCACTTCATCTTCTGCCTTCTTCACATCAAATACGTACTAGAAGCAAAGGGAGGAAGGTGAGGGAGGACCTCTAAGACAGGATCCCTGAGCATGGGTGGGAGTGGACACACAGTGGAGTTAATCTCTGCTTCTCCTAACCCACCACACTGCAGGGACAGCCTGGCTTCAGTACAAGCACTGAGAGCCCACACCCACTCAGGACTTGGTATCATCTTGTCAAGTCAAAGACCTTTTTGGCTGATTTTAGAAAAGACTGGTAAATCCAGTCTTTGAATTGTTCAGCAGAATCCAAGGAGTCTAGATGCAGTCTCATACCAGAGAGCTTCACCCCTTGCAGTCTGCCAGAAGTCCTCCATGGCACGGAAGGAGGAACTGATGTTCACAGAGACCTAAGATGAAGGCTAATACAGAGGTGGGAGCAGATAACAACTCTCCCACATCCTTGATGACAACTCCTTCAATGGACTAGACCATCCTTTGTCTGCCTGTTAGATGCAGGTCTCACAACAACTTGTCTCATGTTACTGAGAATCCCAATTCAGAGCAGGGCAGGACAGAAGAACTTGTTCCAGGAGATGAACTCCAGAATAGGGCACTTTCTGATGGCCAAGCTACAAGAGAATGGCCCTATAGACTACAACCGTCCTTGCAAATTTAACAGTGCCAAGGTTTGGGCAAAGAAACTGGAATTTGATCATTCAGACATCCAAATTGTTGGACATGATTCCTGGTCCTGTTTGACTGGCACCAGCCAACACTGCTACCACCCAGTTTGCTTGTTTGCGTGTGCCAAGATGCTCTATACCAGGTGCCTGGATGCAGTTTCCCTGAGAAGAGGGATAAGGTTAACAGAGTTGGCCTGGATGCTGGTCATGCTGTGCCAGGGGTCTCAGCCAGAGAATGATCATGAGCACATTTAACCTACTAGGGGTCTGGTAGCCATTTTGGCCTTCTAGATCCCTGTAGCAGATTTAAACACTTGGAAGTACGTGTGAAGCCTCCAGAAGGTCCTCTGCTCCACGACTCACTTGGGGATTCTGCAAAAAGGTGTCCTTGTGGTTGATACAGCCTCCGCAGCGGTTCTTCAAGGGGTCATTGTTTCTGGTCCACGCCCCATGTAGCACTGCCTCCTCCCAGGTCTTGTGGATGCTCAGGTAGGACGTGTTGATGAGACGGCACTTGATGATGTCCGTGAAGTATTTGCAGAAATCTTCAAAAGTCATCCTAAGTCGGGAAAGGACAGGGCTGGGTTATGCACCTTCATTCCCCTGAACTGCAAGGATTTTCTTGATCACCTGTTAAGAGACTGTGTGTGGGTAGCCTCTGATGGCTGATGAACAACAAAAGAGATGGAGATACTGTTCTACACGCATGTGGTAAATACTTTTTCAGTTTAAACAACAGAGCTATGTGTTTTGGAGTGGGAGAAGCAGAGCAGTGGCCCTTCCTCCACACACATGTACTGAAACGGACCTGGTGAGGCGGTTAAGTTCAGCACATTCATAACAGGTTCCCAGTACCCTGGAGAAATGGCTTGGTCCCTGGGTGATACAGAGCAGCTTGCAATCCTACGGTCATGGCCACCCACAGCACCCGTGGGCTCAAGGAAGAAACGTCACTAAAGACCCTAGGGCTTGGAAGGCCATTTGCTCTGGACAGCTGTATGCATGGAAATGACCCGCTTCATGGGGTGGGAGGACTCTGGGTGTGGGCCACGGTGGCAAACCCAGGTAGGACTCACCAGAACTCTCCATCGTCTTCCACTGTCATGCCCATCTTCTCTCTCTCACTTTTACTCACTTTCTGCCACTCCTCAGAGCTGTGGGAAGAGTACAGGATCATTACTGGGAGGGCAAGGGGACACACAAGAATTCAAGGGGCTACTTGGCCTCAGCAGGATCTGTCAAGGGCACAAGGCCTGTATAAAGCTCCAGCCATGCAACTGCACTGTTAGCTCATCTTCCAAATATGGGGGGAGTGGGGCATGGCTTGGAGTTTCAACTACCTGATCCCTGGACCAGAATCCAGCTTGGAAAGATTTTGTTTGCCCAGTAAAATCAAAACCCTATCAGTGCAGATAACTAAATGGACTCTGGGCAAAGGCTGTGGTTACACCAACCCTTGGGTTTTTCGTGCCATCCACAGACACCGCAGCGGTCAGTGGTGGCAGAGGTTGATTATGTTGAGTGCTATTTTTGATGGAACAAGACCAGGAGCGCAAAGGTGAGCTATAATCATCCTTCACTAGCGTGAACATGCTGATAATTTCATCACAACACCCACCAGAGCCTTAATGAGAAGGTCTGCCAAGCTCAGCCACCCTCCTGCTGACTGCCAGGGACCCCAGGACAAGGAATGAACCTACCCTAGTGAAATAGGAGGTTTAGGACATGGGTTGAAGTCACCCACAACTGCCCGTACAATGTTTTCCCACGGGTGTCGGTGTAGTCAAATGGTCTCATGTCTCAAGGCTTGCTCCAACTTAGCTTTTCCACCACAAAAAGGTGCTGCTGCTGCCCATCCTAACTCACGTGTCACTCCAAGGGCCGTTCCACTCCCGCTCGCCCCACGGGTTGCGCATGCGGATCATGTCCAGCTTCTCCGACTTGAAGAAGGACAGCAGGCCGTGGCCCAGGCGGACCTTCCGCACATCTGTCACCGCGTACGCGTGGCCCTTCACCAGTCCGCAGGCCAGGCGGGCCTCCATGTCAGCCGCTGACGTGGCCTGGGTAGGGCGATAGAGACAGTGCTCGTACCAGGGGGATGTGACCACCTTTGCAGGGATTGGGAAAAGAGGGAGCTCAGGTTTCTCTGAGACAAAAACAGAAGAGCATTGATACTCCGAGAGGCAGCCAGTTGCCTTGGCAGATTTACCAGATGCCATTTTAGGTGCTTTTTGGTCTTCATCTGCTGCAGGAGGTCTCTGAGATCCCATACTGTCAAACAATAAATCTTATTCTACTGATGGAGGTCTGGCACACAGTTTGTAGAGAAGTCTGGATGCAGATACCAAAATGCCTTTCTCTGGAAGTGAATCCTCTCCTAACATTTAAAGGGTGGTGGGATGAATCTGGGCTCTTGGACATAGCAATGAGTAATAAAGAGAGCTGGCATCCAGCTTGACTTCTTTTGCCATCCACAAGAAGAAGTAGGAACCCTTTGCCGTAATTTATCAGATCTAGAAGTTTTTGACAGTGTAAGACAACCACATCCCAAAATGCCTATTCCCATGAGACCGTGACCATACAGATAACATTGCTTACTTTGATGGAGCAACTGATGAGGCCTCCCCGGTTGTGCACCTTCAACACACGCTCAAAGAGGAGGTTTCGCTTGGCTTCATCAGTGACGTAGTCCCCTTCGGTCAGGTCGATAGGTTCAGAGACCCCACCAGTAAAGTCAACCAGGGCATCAGCTGTGTTTCCTCCATCCAGGGCCTCATAACAGCCTGACAACCTGAAAGAGGGTGACAGAGATGGTACAACAACACTGGCTTGAAATTTTAAGGGGTCTGGGACAGTTCTTGGGCCAGCCTGGAGAGCAGAAAATTGTAATAAAACTTTCAGTGGGTGAGGACAGCATACTAGGGTGAAAAAATAAGACCCATGCTGCTTGCAGCACTCTTGCTGTCACAAGGCAAAGTAAAGGGAACTTGAAATCCCTAGGATAGGTGTTACTTATACATGGAGTTGGAGAATATTTTGCTTTGAGGTTAAGTTAAGGCTAGAGAAGGTTTTTTTCTTACAGTTTCTGTCTGAGATATACCCTATTCCTCCCCAGGAAAGCTGTTGTTCCCACTGGTGCAAACCAGCTGATGAATGAACAGACAGGAAAAAGAGGGTGCCCAGGTCCCAGTTTGTTCTGCAGCTGCCCAAGTACCTACTTGGCATAAGCCTTCTCCACCAAGGCACACCAGAACTCATTCCTGGAGTTGGAGTGGCAGTAGATGAGCTGGTTGTGGAGGGTGGGCAGGCGATCATCTATCACCACATCCAGCCACTGACCAAAACGCCAGAACTGGAAATGGAAGATCCCCACGTAGCTCTCAGGTTTCTCAGGATTCCACTCCTGCTCCTTCCAGTCTGGGATGACCTGCAAGAGAGGAGGCACATGTACCTAGGTTATTCCCCTTTTTGCTGGGTTTGGCTCTCATCCTGGCACTAACACAGACAATATCAAAGACAAAGAAGAATATGAGGAGGGGTGGACTTGTTTAAAGGCTGTAGGGGCGAGATTTTGGATCCAGTTCCTCCAATGCAGATGAGATTAGCATTTTCTGGAATAGCTTGGACTTAATTGTGCCTTGGAAGATGGAGCTGAAGATCCTTGTCCTCTTTCTTATAATTCCACCTGGACATCTGCTGGCATCTAGTGCTGTAAACAGGCTATTGGAGCAGAAGAGTCCTCAGCCTGACCAGGGATGGTTATTTTATGATGACATTTTTGTTCATTTTACAGTCAGTAGTATACCACTAAGAGAAGGCACCTTCTTTTACTTGATTCTGGTGTGACCTGGCCCAAGAACAAGTGTTGTATTCACCTACCTGGTGGCAAGGAACAGGGACCAGACACTGTGCATACACCTACACTGCTAAATAAAAATGGGAAAAGTGAAATCCCCAACCCCACAAGGTCTCCATTCTTTCTTGTCAAGAGCTACCATACTCATCCAAGCAAGCACAGGGAGATGACTTGCTGGAAGAAGGAAAAGAGGGCCTGGGGTGGAAGAAACCCTAGAGCAGCTGAGGGAGCACAGGTTCGGTGTCACTGCCATCTGCACTGCCAGTGGGACAGGCACAAGCGAAGGATAACTCCTAAAGTCCATAGTCCTTCATGGCTGCAGACACCACCAGCTTTGCTTTGGATGGAAAATCCATCCAACAGTTGGGACAGAAATGGGCACAGCCATGCACAGGTGATAGGAGGATCTGTATTTTACTTAGAACCAGGATGTAGAGGCACACAGCAAGAAAGCTGCCCCACCCCAGCTTAGCTGCTGTTGAGGGTGAAGGCAACGTGGTTTTCCTGCATGGTCAGGGTTGGCTGTGAGGCCACGTGTAGTGAATGTCGTTGATAGATGACAAGTACTGACGGGTTCAGCTGCAGCAATGTGACTGACCTTCCACACCTTTGCTTCTTCACTTACCAGCTCCCAAAGCATCATGACCTAAGTGAGGAAAAAGACCCAACGCTCCCATGGGGAAAATTACATTCCACTATACTGAAAAATCACTGTCCTGCGGAGACAGCTGCGAGTATTGGGGTGGGACAGGACAGGACACAACTACCTTGCAGGAACAGAGGCTCTTCAGGAAGTGCGAGGCCATAGCGACAACCCCTGCACTGATCCTTGGTCCTTGTCCAGCTGCCAAAGCCTTCTGCTTTTTTTTTTTTTGGCTGCTGCCACAAAGCTATAACACTGCAGAGAGAGTTGTCTCTGGAGGGTCCCCCAACTCCTTAGATACCAGCAATGATCCAGCCCAGGGCTTTTATTGCTCTAACACTGAAATATTAATGATGCCATCAGTACTGCAAGCTCACTGGCACTCCTGAGTTGTCTGGATCAATAGAAGCTGGGCAGACAGAGCCATGAAAAAGAGCCACTTTCAGAGTGTTTGGTGTTTTCCAGGCGTGCTAACAACGATACCCCAGACTCCCCCTGGGAGAACGCCAGGAAAGGTCAGACAGCCCTCCATCAGTCCCCATCGATTCCCTCCTGACTGGAGCTCATCCTAATGAATTGTGGAACAGGACCATCGTGTTAATCAACTCGCTATTAATGTGGGCTTAGAAATGATTACGGCATTGATTAGAGGCAGCTTGTCAGACAGAGCTGGTAGCGACGGCTTCCAGCTGGCTGTTTCTGGTACTCGCCATTGCTGTCAGTGGTGGCAGGGGATGGCTATCAGTCCCCCCCCCATCCTCCTCTGTTCCTTCGTTTTGGGACAGCGCTGAAAACACCCTCTGCCACTGAAGGTAGCAAAAGCAGTCAGCCTTCACGCAGAGTGGGATCTGGGTACAAGCCTGGTCGTGTTTCAACATCAACCCAAGGAGAAATGAGAGGAGCCTGATCTCCAGAGCCCAATCTGTCCTCAACCTGCCAAAGTGCAAGGTGTGAGCTCAAACATCACGTCCCTCTCCCCGCAGCTCCCTGTAGAGCACAGCATCCCACCCAGGCCAAGGATCCCTCCAGTTGCTTCAGCCCTAGCCAAGGTGTCTGCAAGGTGGCAGCTCCGGATGCAGTGCCTATTGGGACACCACACTTCAAGGCATACAGCACCACCCCTGCCTGTGACCTGATGCTGCGTATTACCTAAAGGATTAACCTGGGGCGCATCTACAAACCCCAGCAGTAGCTGAAGCCCAGATACCTCCAGGAGATCATCATGCAACTGAGGTCCATGTCTTCCACCACTCCCAGAAAACCTCAGACATCTCCATCCCTCCTCAGTGGATGCTGGAGAGAATGCCATGGACCACCCCTCCCAGGATCCCAGAGTCCTGGGCTCGACTTGGTTGCGTGACACAGAGGCATAGAGACCAGATCTCCTCATTCACCCAACTGTTCTGCTTTTTGCTTCGGGGCTTCCAAAATCAACAGCTGTAACACCCTTTTGTGGGACAAATTTACAGTGAAAGGGCTCAGAAACAGGTAAATTGGGAGCCCAGAAACACCAGGTTCATTTCCCTAAGCTGGCTTAGAGCTTTTTCTTATTTTTCTCAGGAGTGGCTAATAAAGAGAAAAAGCACCTGTGACCCTGGAGAAACATCCTAATTAGAAGGAGGAACTGGTAGGTGCTGATTCCTCCCAGCAAGGGCTCTTTTGCTGGGAACTTGCCAGCTCAGGATGGGAAGGGAGTGACTCAGCTGTGCCAATCTGCTGGACC